AGATTGGAGAACTTCAAGATGTCAGGCAAAGCTTAGGAAAGGCTCTTTATGGAAATGACAGGATAGTCAGCCCCTGACCGTGAATCAGGCTGTCCATGGGCCCTGTCAGGGTACCAGGGGTTCATGAGGTAGATGGAGAGCAGGAGTGTAAGGAGGAGCTGCATTTGCAGGCCAGCAGGGCAGGTTAACCCTTTAGAGAAAAGCTCACTAACGTCCCCTCCATGCTCCCCCTCCCCGGTCCCGCAGGCCGCATGTGCTTCTCATCCTGCCAGTGCACTGCATTTCTTGTTTTGCGATTACTTTTGTCTGTTGTCCCTCTGTCCTCAAAGATGATCACCGCACCCCTGGCCCGAGGTGGGATGCAAATCAGACCACGGTTCCCGCCTGCCCCCGCGGTGCCGGTGCCGGCTCCACCTCCAAGCTCCGTGCCCTTGGGCGGACAGCCAATGCCACAGGTATTTACTGGGTCAGCCTCGGGCACAGCTGCCCTGCCCCAGGCAACGGGAGTGGGCACTTGTGCATCAAACTGGGAACTTGCTGCTCTGCTCAGAGTGTTGGTGTGGTTTTTGTGGATATTTTTTTATTTGAAGTGCGAGGTTTTCTTGGGATATCAAATAAAGTGTTTTTAAGTGGGGTAGATATTTATTTTAACATTTAAAACTTTGCCTGTTGGGACCCAGGACATTCCTCTGGCTGCCCTGGAGGACTCAGTACCCTGGCAAGGGGCTCAGACACCTTGGCACAGAGTCACAAACACCTGAGCCTTTGATTTTAGTCCATGGAAACAATTACCAACTTTGTGTGAAGATTTACAAGCCACAAGAGTTTGAGTAGAATGATATTTAGTTTGTCATAGGGTGAAAAAGTAGAATTTTGGGGATTTAGAATGGGGGTTCTAGAGGCAAAATGGAGGAATCTGGGCATGTCCTGTCCTTCTCCTTCTTGTCCTCCTTCTTCTGCTGTGATGGTGGCACTTCTGGATTGGTTTAGAGTAGAGACAGAATGTCTGACATAGGTGATAGGGATTGGAAAATTATTGTAAATAAAGTACACGTAGTTCTTTGTATAAAAAGTTAACACCCCCCCAAGGGTGGTCACTGTTCTACAACCCAACCTGCTGGACAGATCTCAGCAGATCAGAGAGAGAATGTAACAGATAAGAGAAAATAAACAACCTTGGAAAGCAGAACTGAGGAATCTCAACTTCTTTGGTCATGGGGCTGGGAAAAAGAGACTTTCTAACACCTCAGGGTCACCTCAACCACAGAAACCTGAGACCTGCTGTGTTCAGAATTGATTCAAGCCTCAAACTGCAGGTCCACACTCCATGAGTGTGCATCTCTGAGTGTTGCAGGTCAGCACTGCAGTGTCCCTGGCTGAGGTGTGCCCAGGACCTTGCTTGGCATGTGTTCATGCTGTGTACAGGTGATTCTTGTGGTATTAAACCTGGCTCATCCCAGTTTGAGCAGCTTTGGCATGCCATCAGGGACCCAGAAGAATTTGAGCTGTTGTTTTCTGGCAGGCTGGCAGCTCCTGTCCAGCTGCTGCTGGAAAATGCACCAGGTCAGAGCACTTCATTTCCTCCCAGGAGTTTGCAAAGGCAGTGACAGTGACCAGAGAGATCCTGCAGTCCCAGGCAAACACGTCTGTTGTCATTTCTGCTTGAAGATGGATGCTCATTTCAATCCAGGACAGTGTGTATGTTAATTTACACAAACCCCAGCCATAGCTGTGGAGTCAGAGGGGAATTTGTGCTTTGGTCACTGTAGCAGTTAATACTGACTGAGAAAATCATCACCCATTTGAAATATCCACAATATTTGAGGCTTTCTCATGGATATTTTATTTTTGCTTCTATTTAATAGATAGCAAAAGGCTTCTAGTTCAGGCATTCAGTGATGGGGTGATCTTTGAGCACTGCCACTGTCACTGAGGAGCTTTGCCCCCTTTCACCAGTGAGTTCCTCATCAGAAATGTCTCAGTAGCAGGCCAGGGAGTGGGGAGGTGGTGTAGAAGCTGAACAAGTGGTCAAAGCAGAGAAATAAGAGAAATGTTTCATGAGCAATGCTTGTAGTGCAAATGGCTCTGAAGCAGGTGCTGGGGTCAGTGAGTGGGCCATGGTTTCCTGGTTTTGTTCTGCAAATACTTGACAGCTCTGGACCAGCATGAATCTCTGCCATTGTCTGCCAAAACATTTTGTTTAGGTTCTAGGTAGATTAGAAATTAGAAATGTTGTTTTTTGCATCTCTTAATCTTATAAAATGCTGAACTGCTGCTGTCTGCTGGGTGTAACTTGTTGCTCATCAGAGCCCTTGCAGCTGTTGGCAACAGGAGTGAAGGGCTGTAGCAGGTATGTGGTTATTGATCACTCATTTAAGAGCATCAAAATCCATTTAGGTGTGCTGATAGGGAGTTCAGGGTGTATTTTCTCTTTAGAAAAGAATCTTGGTGTTGCACTGAGGAATGCTTTTCAACAGAAGGATCAGATATGAAATCAGCACATTGTGGTTATTTATTTTTACCCCATATAACAAAGCAGTCTGGCTTTTTTAATCACAATTCTCATTAGATTCTCCAGTGAGTTTATTTGTTTGGTTGGGGTTTTTTGCTTCTTACAGTCTTTTCCAACAATACAAAAATTCCTGATATGAGGTTTTATCCCACAACCACCTGGTGTTTTGATTTGCAACAGAGTCAGAGCTGGGAGCCCTTCCCAGCCTTATCTCCTGAGTGCTGTTCTGTGCCTGAGACCCAGCAAACTGGAGCTGGAACTCTCAGCTGGGTTCATCTTCCAGGACAGTGCTCTGAGCACTGAGCTTTGCCTTAGTGGGTGTAAATGCAATCTTTTATCATGCAAGCCTAAGCTCCTTATGGGCAGGACTTGAGAAAATGAGGGTGTGTGTCCTGATCAGGTCAGTGTAGAGCACAGAGCAGATGGATGCTCAGGGGCTGCAGTAGCTGCCCATGGACAGGATTTATGTGCAGAAATTCACATCCCTCAGTGAGAAGTGTGTGCTTGTATTTCCTCGTGTCCCCTGAAGATGCAGGGTGTACAAATGAGCACTAACCATGGCTCTGGAGCTGAATGCATTCAGTGGAGTTAAAGCTCTGGAGGAGGGGAGTTTTTGTCTTTTGGGTTCATAGCTATTTTTTGTAGTGTGTTTGTTTGTTTTTCTTATTTTTAAGCCTTCTTTTTACTCAGCTGCAAAGAGTATTCCCTAGAAGTTGAAACTTAATTAAATTGTTACAATCTTAATCTTTATCCTAAAAATAATATAGAAACCTAAATCTGAAATAATCTTTCATCTTGTTCTGAAATGATGTAACCAATGAACTGCTGTCAAAGGCAGTAAGTTCAGAACTGCACATTTCTGAATGCATGTTTTTGAAAATACCATTATTTTGCTTACTGTTAAGCATTGGCCTTTGCTGTTCTGAAATGAAGGTGGCAGAGAGCAAACGTGGAAAGGAGGAAATCTCTTTGCCTGTGCAAGTATTTGGATGAGGAGGGGTAGTGCAAAAAATTCAGTTCATCCTGTGCTTATGTGCACAAGAAATGCTGCAGATCCTTTTCTTCACTTTCTGCAGCATTTGTAAATTAATGTAAATAATATCCTTGGTGCTGAATTACACACAGCAACTTAAATCTTGCAGAAAACCTAATGAGATATTTCCCCTTCCTTCCCAAAACACAAGGATTTAAATGCTCAGAAGTAATTTTTTATAACCAACTTGGGACACTTAACAGGGACCTGATTTTCAATAAATGATGAACCACTCCAGGTGGTGTTGGTCTGACTCGATGAGAAATGGGTGCAGTATCCATAGGGGTAATTCCCAATCATGTGCTGTCTAATAGCACATTAAATCCACTTGTGAAGGATCAGGGAATGCTCTTTGCAGTGTCCATCCTTCCTTCCATCCATCCTTCCTTCCATCCATCCTTCCTTCCATCCTTCCTTCCATCCTTCCTTCCATCCTTCCTTCCTTCCTCCCATGGTGTCTGCAGGAGGCAAACTGTGCCTTTCAGCCTCAGGAATGCTTTTCCAGCTGTTGAGGACAGATGTGCTGGTAAAGAACCCACCTCCTTTGGAGAAAGAAGCCCAGGCTCTGTAGTGTTGATTATGGAGAACAGGAAGATGTTTAATTTCAGCCTCACTTGTTCCATATATTAACTTTTGTGAGAGGTTGCAAAGGTACTGGGGTTATTGAAGATGAAAAAAATCATAGTGTGTCAGGCTGCATTTGGTTTTGAGCTGTTCTGTAATGGGTGATAAATTGGTATCTTCAAGATGAGCAGTTTTGCACTGAGCTGGGGGTTGTTTGTGCCTTTTTGGGGGAATTTGTCCTTTTGCATGGCTGCAGTGTGAGGTACCGAGGAGAGCAGCTCCTGTTGCAGTCAGTGTGTCCATGCAGAAGCAGACAATGCAATATTTTTCAGTGTGCTAAATATCTTGTCCTCTGCATACAGCTGGGTTATTTAACAAGACAATGAAGGGCAACACCAGTTTGCAGTGCCTGTGATGTGCCTGGGACTTGTGGATTTACTGGAACCTTCCTTAAACATGGTTTAGACTGAGGGAAGGAGTTTTTAATTCCAAGATGTTCATCAGTGACTTACAGAATGGACAATGGGTTAATGAGCCACAGTCTCTGCAGGCTAATTCCATTTATCTTTGTATGTCCTTATTTATAGCCTCAAGTCATAAGAACTCTCTGCATGCTCCTTAAACAAATGTGATCCCTCAATATCTGCATTACTGTCCCATGCCTCTGCCATTGCACAGGTTTTCTTGTTTGGTTTTAAGTGATTAAGGGGAAAAATGTGAATTAGAACAAATGGGAGAAGTTGCTCAAATTTTAGTGTTCACCTGGCTCTGGCACTGCAGGGTGTACAGAATAAACTTGGTTGTTTGGTGCTGTTTGGAATGCTCTTACTTGCCTTTCTGTCCTTTAGGCTCACCTCATCATTCTCCAAAGGTCAGAAAGCTGCTTCATTTTTATTCCACCCAGCTGCTCAGTTTGGAGTTTCTATCTCCACCCAGATTTTCAGAACTCAGTATTTAAACAAGATGTTGGTGATTTGGCTTACTTAATTTTTTTCTTCCTTCTTTCTAAAGAAAACCAGTTGAGAAGCTGCAGCTGAGTCTGACAGACCTTTGAAGGCTGTAATTAAAATATCTAAATAAGGAGGGGTTTTTGACTCTTAATTATCAAATGGGAAATGTCTTTTCTTCCTGCTCTTCTTTAGTTCTAATAAAATACAGGTTTTCCACATGGCACTTCTGACATTTTAATTGCAACATGATGATTTGGGCAGTGAAAAATAATTGTTATGCAGTTCATTCAAGTTATGTGCAGATTTACTGGTCATTTCTACTGAAGTTGTTAAATTTACTGCCCTGAGAGCTTCAGGAGTGATGGAGGTGGGAATGTCCTTGTGGGGGGAAAGGGAACTAATGCTTTCATTTCTTGTAGGCCTGAGGATCCTTCTCTCCACAGGTGAAGCCTTGTAGTGGGGTTCCCCTGCCCTGCTGCCTGTGCTGTTGCTGATGTGTGTGTTCCCACCCTGCAGGTCAGCCAGAGCAGCATCACCATGATGTCCTCCCCCTCTCCTGTGCAGCAGGCTCAGACTCCCCAGGCCATGCCTCCCCCCCCACAGCCCCAGCCCTCTCCTCAGCCAGGCCAGCCAAATTCCCAGCCAAACTCCAATGTCAGGTGAGCCCCCCTGCAACTTCTTCTCAGAAATATTCAATAACCTTACTCTGCTGCTGTTGAAATGAATCAATGTTAATACCAGCTCCACTGGTGAGACTGTGCTGAGTTCACTCTGAAAAGTCACATTTTACATTAAAAATCTGCGTATGAAATCTCAGCAGGGCAGAACTACAGACTGCCATAATGGTGCTTACTAAATGTCAGAGCCCAGAACATCCCTCTGGCTGTCCAGAACAGCCAGGACCCTGCCAGGGGGCTCAGGGACCCTGGCACAGAGCCCACAACACCTGTGGGTTTGATTATGGTCCATGGAGCAAATTACCAACCTTGTATGAAGATCTGCAAGCCACAACACTTTAAGTAGAATAATAGTGAAGTTATCACAAGGTGGAAAAGTAGATTTTGAGGTTTTTAAAATGGGGATTCAGGAGGGCAAAATGGAGGGAACTGGGTGTGTCCAGCCTTTCTCCTTCTTCTTCTTGGCCTCCATCTCCTGCTGTGATGTTGGCACTCACAGATTGGTTTAGAGTAGAAGCTCAGTGTCTAACACAGGTATTGGAAAGTAATTGTAAATAATGTACAACTAGTTTTTAGTATAAAGACATAACACTAAATGCCTCTGACTGTCGTGCTGAGTGGACCTTGGCAGGACAGGAGAAAGAATTTTGTAGATAAAATACAATGAACAACCTTGAGACTGAGAAATGAAGAGCTCTGACTCTTTCTTCAAGCACTGGGCTGGGAAAAAAGACTTTTAACAATCTCAGGGTCACTGACCAGCTAGAGATCCCAACAACTAAAGTCATATCTGCTTGCAGGCTGAGGATCCTTCCTTGTCAGGTTCTGACAGGTTTAATTCATGTTTCTTTTCCAGCTCTGGCCCTGCTCCATCACCCAGCAGCTTTCTCCCCAGTCCCTCTCCGCAGCCCTCACAGAGCCCAGCAGCTGCACGAACACCCCAGAACTTCAGTGTCCCATCCCCAGGGCCTCTCAACACTCCAGGTGAGTGATCTGAGGGCTGAGTTTTGGGAACTGTGATCATTCCTGTTCTTTTTGGCACAGTGTCAACTTCCAAGAGCTCTGTGTAGCAGCTCCATTGCAGGTAGTGAGCAGGTCACACACAGCACATAACACAACTGCTTGGATTCCCAAATCAAAATCCACTGAAACCTCTTTTCTCATCACTGAACTATCTAATGGGTTTTTCTAACTTCCCCAATCTTAGAAAAGAAGAATGATAATTTAATGGAGCAATTTTATAGAGGCATAATGATTCTTTATTCCAGAAGGAGGGAACCCTTAGTGACACTGTGCAGGTGTAAAGGACAAAACCACCTCATCCCAGGCAGCAGTTCATCCCAGGAGGAGGCTGCTTTGCTCAGAGCACCTTCCCAGCTGTACTCTGGCACTTGGCACCCCCCTCCCAGTCAGAATAAGCAGTTTTTGTCACCTCCATCCACAGTGACACAGACTGGCTCCTTCTCCTGGCACTGCACTGTGCTTTGCAGATAGGAAAGGACCCACTTAACAAAAACTGCTGTGAATTTGTTTATTTTGTGTTTAAAGCATCAGAGTGAAAGCAAAATAAAGACCTAGAAAATGGGTATGTGGAACTTTGGACTTTGCAGAAAAATATGTTTTAAGTGGGAATTGCTGTTCTGCCCATAGAACATGTTATTTCCATACGAAAACTAGAGGTTGGGCAAGCACTTAAACTATGGAGGGAGTTGTGGATTTGGATATTTGACATGAGCTACACTTTGAGAGTGCCACATTTCAGATCAAGATTAATTAAGAATAATGTTCTGATAAAAGATAAAAGTATCTTTTATCACCCTGTGACATGCAGTCTTCCTTTTTTGCCAGGAAATCCAAATTCTGTCATGAGTCCAGCCAGCTCTGGTCAGTCAGAGGAGCAACAGTATCTGGAAAAACTCAAACAACTTTCGAAATACATCGAGCCACTCCGGAGGATGATCAATAAAATAGATAAAAATGAAGGTGAGGTTTCCTGAATTTGGCCATGCATTTACCTGTGTCAGCTCTCTTATCTGCTGAAGAAGCAATACTTTATCTTTTGTGGTGACTTCTTTTCCAGGGATTAAAAATGTCAGAACTGTTCTTTCTTGCTTCTAACTAAAGACTTTAGTGTGAGCAATGGGCAAAACTCTTATCCTTAAATTCTCATCAGTTTTTTTTTTCCTTCTGATGGTTTTGAAACATGTAGAGTTCATGCTTTGGATATACTTAGGATTAGATGAAAGATCTTTAATCCTCACTACTTTCTTTAGTATTAACTCATGTTTTCATTTTGACTGTGTCTCTGTCTGCAAGAATGGAAGCTTTTCTTGTAGTCACTGTTTGTTTCTCACCCTGTTTCAGACAGGAAGAAGGACCTGAGCAAAATGAAGAGTCTCTTGGATATCCTGACAGACCCTTCCAAACGGTAACTGCTCCTGTCAGCCTCCCCAGCCGGGGCAGAAATCTGCTGTTGGCCCCAGCCCTGTTGCCTGAGGCTGTCTGGGGCTCAGAGAGCAGAAACTGCAGCTGAGGTGCTCGTTTGGTGGCTGATGTGGATGAAATTTCTCCCACAGGTGCCCCCTGAAGACGCTGCAGAAATGTGAAATTGCTCTGGAGAAGCTGAAAAACGATATGGCTGTGGTATGTAATGCTTTGTGGCAGCAGAGACAAGCACCTCATTCCAAAAGGTGTTAAGACTTGGCCAGGATCATTTTTGCAGTTTTTATTACTCATTTTTACAGTTTTTGTTACTGAGTTTTATTACTCAGTGCTGTTAAAACTTCAAGTAAGGTTGGACAAAATAAGAAAACAGGAAAAATGGGCAAGCATGTACTTTCATGTAAGTTGCATCTTTTGAATGAATTTCAATTTCTTGTGCTCTGTGCAAAGACTTGAGTAAATGTTTCTTTGGACTGTGGCTAATTTCAGGACAGCCTTCCTAAACCAAAACTGCATATGGTTTTTTTTGTTTACTTCCTCCCTTAATGTTACCATGCACAGTTTTGAGAAGCATCGGAAGTTTACCGCTATAAATTTTTTCAGACTCAACAGTAAATATTTCTATTTTTGGTGATGATTAAAGGCTCTGTTGTGTTTCAGCCAACTCCACCACCTCCCCCAGTGCCCCCCACCAAGCAGCAGTACCTGTGCCAGCCCCTGCTGGACGCTGTTCTGGCCAACATCCGCTCGCCCGTGTTCAACCATTCCCTGTACCGCACCTTCATGCCGGCCATGACGGCCATCCACGGGCAGCCCATCACGTACGTACCCACTGCTCTGAGTGCAGCAGAAATCCCTCTGTGGGGTCACTCAAAGCACACATGGGTTTGTGGATTCCTTTTTTCATGGCTGGAATGTTTAATGATGCCTTTTGTGGGCTGTGCTGTTGTACACAGAGCCCCCGTTGCTTCCCCTCGGAAGCGGAAATACGAGGAGGATGAAAGACAGACCATCCCAAATGTCCTACAAGGAGAAGTTGCAAGATTAAATCCTAAATTCCTGGTGAACCTGGACCCTTCACACTGCAGTAATAATGGCACAGTTCATCTCATATGCAAGCTAGGTGAGAAGAAAGGGGGAGGTGTGCACTCTGGTTCCTCCCTGGGGTTCACAGGCTGGAAATGCAGCTCAGCTGTGCACTGAGAGCCTCTGTCTGGCAGGAAATGCTGTGCCCTGATGGAAGGGTTTGCCTTTCAGATGACAAGAATCTTCCAAATGTCCCCCCACTCCAGCTCAGTGTCCCAGCAGACTATCCAGACCAGAGCCCTCTGTGGATAAAGAACCCCAGGCAGTATGGTATGACATTTGTGCATGTGCCAGTAGTGGGGAAGTGTGAACACTTATTTAATGTTTTAATATGATTTTTATAACAACTTCCTTTATCTGTAACCTCTTTTTTCTCCAGCAGCCAATCCCTTTTTGCAGTCAGTGTACAGATACATGACTTCCAAACTCTTGCAGCTGCCAGACAAGCATTCAGTCACAGCTCTGCTGAACACCTGGGCACAGAGCATCCGCCAGGCCTGTCTGTCTGCTGCATAACAGCTCCTGCTCCTGCAGCCAGGAGGAACCCAAACAGCTGGCCAAGATCTCCCACGAGCCACTGCACAACCACAGCATGGCAGGTGACTTCAGAAGAAAGAAGCCTTATGTTGTTTTGTTCCTAGGTTGGCAGGTTCAGTAGAGAACCTGAGGTTAGACTTAGCTTTCATGCTTTTTATCTTCTGCCTCTGTGGACTTTTGCCAGCATTTTCAGATATACAAAATGTGTATATATGGTTCTCAAGACTGTATTTAGGATGAGTTTTTTATTGTCTTCTTAGAGAAGAAATTATTTGTGGACTTCCATCAGGGAGTCTGGTATAAGAGGGGGTAGGGAAAAATGTCCTAATTTGCTTCAAAATTTGCTCAGTGCCAGTATTTCTTTCACACTGTATGTTTTGTGACCTGACACTGCCCCAGAAATAAATGAGCTGCAGCTCAGATGTGCTTGCAAACTTGCCAGTGGGTGCAGGAAATCCTTGTGACTATGAATTAGCTTTGCCCAGAGATGGGATAAATGACGTCCTTTTAAGGCATCCCTCAAATATGTGAGATAAATCTGCATAATTATACTTGGGGGTGGGAATGTGGAACCAAACACAGCAAAAAAGGTTTCATTTTATAAAACCTTTTATAGCTTATTTTAAATGCAACTTTGTATAAATGGTTTTTGGTTAGCATGGACCAGGTTTCTCACCCCAGGTAAGGTTGATGAGAAATAAGAGATCCTGATGTGCACACTCTGAGTTCCTCTGTAAATTCAGTAAATGTGCACATAAAGATGGGGGAACCAACACTTAAAGGCCAAGTGACACTGATCAGTCCAGCAGGTTTGTAGCTGCATTTCTTCCTTTCAGAGTCCTTCTGAGGCACCTGGCTTCCAGTGGGAGTTAATGCAGTGCACTGAAACTGTTTCTATACTACATCAGTTTGTTTAAACAAAAAAGGCAAAAAAATCCATCTCAGGAGTAGAACTGACAATTAATCCATTGTGCCTTCAGCTGTGGTGGGCACTCAGAGCAGTCAGCAGCTGCCTTAGTGTGGGCACTTTGAATGAAAACATTACCACAAGTAACTCTAATTTAATGAATTTTTCATACTTCCCCATGTGTCCCAAGTTCCTCCTTCTTGAGTTCCTGAGGTGCAGGAGAATTTCAAATATGAGATATTCCAATTATATCCTGCCCCATCTCTGTATGGTGCAGCAAACCTTAAAGAGTAGCTGGGCTCTCTTACAGGAGTGTCAAGAAATTGCTGTGACCTCTGTAAATCCATGTGGTGTCATCAGTTCCAGGCTGTTTTTAAATGTGGGTACTCAGTGAGCACTGACTGAGGCAGCAGAATGCTGTCAGGATTTTGTACATGAGCTAATGCATTATCTGTCTGTTTCTACTGTAATAAATTTATTACTATTCCTGTGTTGGATGCTGACATTGTGCTGCCCCTCCCCTGTTGGGATACTGTGGGATGAGGGTTGCTGTGCTCTGGGGGAAGTGCAAACTCACAGGCAGTGAAGGGCAGGGGACAAAATCACAAATGGCTCAGTGTCTCCTGCACCACATCCTTCCTGTCCTCAGTGAACTGGGAGAACTGGTCAGGAGGTCATGATGGGATGCACCTGTGGCAGGACTGCAGTTTTATAAATACTCACAGCTCATTCCTCCCCCCTCAAAAAAAAAAACAAACCCAAACAACATATCCACTCGATCTACAGGAAGACTTTTATAAAAATAAAATTTACATTGATTATCTTGACAAGGCCACATCAATGTTTATAAAATTCCATTAACTTTAGTATTAAAAATATTTTAAGAAGGGCTGATATAATTAAAACATTTTAGTCATGGAATCTTAGGCTCATCCTTAAAACATTTATTTCTAGAAGCCAGGAAGAGGAAACTAGTGTTCATGTGGTTTCCATCCTTCGAAGAAAAAAGTCATTATTACAGCATACAGAAAATACCCAGTTAGGATAATGAATGTGCAGCCAACTGGCCCGACATAAAACCAGGATGCAAGGAAGTAGATCAGCAGCAAAGAGATCAGAGTCCTGTAGCTGGCCAGAAACCTCAGGCTGATCCTGGGTCCCCAGTTGTGGCTCGTTCTGTCCCTCACCACGGGGCTGTACCTGATTTTCTGTATGAGCTGGGGGTTGGTCAGGTGGTAGCGACACAGTCTGCCAACAAAATCATCCCTGGAGCAAAGCACTTCCATCTGATCTGCAAACTGAGGGAAGAGGCATTCAAAAGTTAGTGTCTTTCTGCAAATGCTGTCATAAAGTAACCTATTTATGATTTTCTTAAGATAGAGAGTGAGGATTATAGGGATCAAACTGCACTTTTAAACAGCAGAAATGGTATAAAAACCATTAGGTATGAAAACACAGGGCAAGTCTGCACTAAGAAAAGAATTGCTTTTCCTGTTCAGAAGCATTCACTATGAATGTTATTCCCTTGTTCATCAACCATGAGTCCCTTAATAAATCACAATGCAATGTTTTGTGTAGGAAAAGCAGAATGACAGGTACAGAAGCAGGCTAATACTACTAGAAAATATCCATCTAGAGCACAGTGGAGAAGATGGAGTAAGAACAAAGCAAGTGTCGTGTCGGATCTCAGGATCTCAGTCCTGAGGTGCTGGGCCACCGAGAGCACCCTTGGGGGGCTCGGGAGTCCTGGAATGTTCCAGAAGTGTCTGGTGGCTGGACTTTGATCCTACACAGGAGACGACACCTGTATGAGGATAGGAGGGTTTCACCGGGGTGAATGGCGAAGGGATCAGTTAATTAGAGAGTGAGACACAGGGTTTAGGATTTCTGTACAGGGGGGTTTAGAGAAGTAAGATGGAGGAATTGGGGCGTGTCCTGTCCTTCTTCTTCTTCTCCTCCATCTTCTGTGGTCATGGTGGCACTTTAGGATTGGTTATTACTAAAAGTGCACCGGGTAATAAGAATAAATGGTATTGGGGAAAAATGATAAATATTGTACACGTAACAATGGGTATAAAGATAGGTGACTGCCCGGAGGGCAGCACAGTGTGCTCATGGCTGACTGCTGAGCAGAGCTCTGTCGGGCTGAAAGGACATCTTTTAGATAAACAATTAATAAACATAAAAACCGAAAGAAGAACTGAAACCTCTTCTCGTCCTTCGATACGCGGGCTGCCCCAAGGCCACCCCGGGCCTTTCCAGGCCCCTCAAACAGCCGAAAACCCGACAGTGTCGCACAGGTACAGGTGCAGGGGGAAGGCCAGGAGGAGGAGGAGGAGGAGGAGGAGGGCAGGGCTGGGCTCACCCTCTCGTTGAGCGCCGAGGACAGGCGGAACAGGAGCCGCACCAGAGCCGCGTTCTCGTAGCTGCGGATGGGCTGGAGCTCGGTGTCCCCCTGGTACTGCAGCTCGAACCTCCTTAAGCCATTTATGATCTAGAAATGGGCAAAGAAACACCTCAACTTGCAGCTCCCACCTGAAACAGCTTTGTACTGGCACCTCTCTTAGCCCCAGGTAAGGTGCATTTCTGTTGTATTTTCAAGAACAGCCCAGCAGTGATTTGGAGTTGTTTTTCTCTCACCTGGTACCTGCCAAGGGGGGTGAGGATGAGGCCGTTCTCACTGGCAATGCAGTCTGGAAGTTGTTTCTTTCCATTCTCATCTTGAGCTGTCCCACACTTCATCATCATCTGGGTCAGCTGGGCTTCACTCAGCTATGCAAGAATAAATAACACACTTCTAAAGCAGGTGTTTGATCCACCCTCTATTGAATTTATTCCTCACTTCACAAACTCATTAGCCTTGGAAGTCTTTGACAGCCAGCTCAGATACCAAGAACTGCTAAAGAGCACCTCAGTTAGACATTAAAATGAGATAATCCTCTCCAGATTTGCCTGTTCTTGTCCAGTTCTAGATTGGTGCTCTGGTTTGTATCTCCCTTAGCTCCCAAGGAGTATCAAAGAGTTGTCTGCATGGGCAATTCTGTACAAGGGAGTGTGGCTGCAGAGAAATTAATCTATTATTTTTAAGTTTAACAGTTTGTCCATAACTGCAGTTGTATTTTTACAGCTCTACATTTAGAAAATACAGGAGAGTTTTTAAAACTGCCTGTTTGGAAACAAGAGGACACCTTGGTATAAACAGGTTTGGTATAAATTACACAGTCCAAAAGAGTCATCACTTAAACAAAGTAGGTTTGATACTTAAAAATTCATAACACCTAATTCCATCTGCATTGAAAATGGCAAAGTTGAGATGATGTTAAAATGTACTAGCAAGGTCTCTGGCCAGCTTTGTGACCCCACACAGTACAAGAGACACAGATGTACATTTGACAAATCCTGACTTTTGTTCTCATTGCCAAGTTCTTAGAAAGATGTTACTTACCTTAAAGATCTGGCACAAATATTCCAGTGCCTTCTCTAAATATTCATCTGTCTTTTTGATGCTGTCCTGCCCAATTTCATCAAGGTCATTGCCTGTGTAGGAACCATTCATGTCAGATGGTGTGAATCGAAACCAGGAGAAGAAGGACTGGCTGGCCATGGTCTCTGCAGAGTGGTCTGATATGGACTTTGCTGTCTGCTGTGCCTGACAAATTAACTGGGCCAGTTTTAACACCTAAAACAAACACCAAAAACTGTGTGAGATGAAGATAAAGGACTACTAAGCATCAATACATGGATAAAACTGTGCCTTGACAGCTGAAAGTGAGAGCAATCCCAGCAAACTCACTTCCTTAGTGCATATGGATTTGTGCTGTTAGCTGGATTTCCAACAGGGCAGAGGCAGTTCTGTTGGAGCATTTAAAAACCTCAGAGCTGCTGAGGTTCTTCAGCTGCTTTTTAAATTTTTCCTGCTGATTTTGTCTGAGTTGCTGGTAGGTACTGATGAACCAGAAGATCACAGTAAGCATGTTTGAGAGGAAACACCATGTCCTGCTCCAAGGCAGCAAGCTGTTACATTAACTTATTATTTATCAAAGAGAAGCAGATTTTTACAGCTGTGCTGGACTGAGACCCCTCAGGGTCCAAAAGCAAACTAAATTATTCAGTAATGCAGGGTGTGAAGCTTTCTACTTTTCACTTTTGGTATGGATGCTCAGCACTGAGGAACATCTGTCACAGGAGAAAGGCAGGTGCAAAAGAGCTTGTTGCTTACCAAATTCCTGACTTCTGTGCCAAACATCTGTTTATACTGGAAATCCTGTCCTTCCAGGCTGTAAACATGACTCTTCACCTTAAATGAGGCATCTGTAACAGCTGGAGACCGTGATGACAAAAAACTCCCCCCAAGAGTGGGGCTCATAAAAAGTCGGTGTTGCCGGTGGGGAATCACAAGCTCTGGCTCCAGGAATAACTGTTCTCCTGGAATTTGAAAAAAGAACTGATGATGGTTACATAATATTGGTCTTGCTGGGGAAGGTCCAGCTGCCTTAGAGAGAGAGTTCAAAGGGGAAGGAGGCCTTAATTAGTGTTCATTATTTACTTCTCTCTGCCCAGAGCAGGAAATGTCAGCCTGCATTTAATGCAGACCATACAAAGCAGCATTTAAAATTCATATTTTTCAACAAAAGGCAGGGGAGAAACATACTTCAGATATTGATACTTGTCAAATGTCACCACTCCCAAATTCACTACATCCTAATTATCCTGAAATGCATGCATGACTCTTTTACTAAGTACAGAGACTTTCAGAGATATATGAAGTTTAAATCTTGAGGTATGTAATGAAATAATACAAGCATCAGAAAAACTGACAATTGTAATTGGGTTCTTTGTCCTTTAAAGAAAAATTGTGAAATGCAATCTATGGTGATTAGAAGAGAACTATAGACTTACTAAACCAATTGAGACACATTAGTGAAGACAGACTTTTGAATGGCAAATAGCATGAAAAATGGGAGAGAAGTGCAGCTCTGCTAATGAGATGAGATGTAACTACTGTGAGGAAAGATTGACACAGGGCAACAGAAGATGTCAAAATATCCTTTTACCTTTGAGGATCATTTCAGCTAGATTGGGCTGAGCAAAGACCTTTGCTACTCGGAACACCATGAGGGCATTTTTTGGACTGACCAAGTCTGTCCGAAGAGCTCTGTTGAGAAATCCCACAAACAGCTTGGTGTACATGAGCAGGTTCTCTTGAATGAAGGCAGCCCTGTCAAAGTGAGTACAGGATTTGTGAGTACACCTATTTAAAGAAGTGTTATTTTGTCTTCTACCAAATAAAGCACTAAGGGGATGTTTTATACTGTCTCTGGAAAGATGGTCAACTTACACTGAGAGAAAAGAATACTCTCCAAACAAAAACTAGTGTTCTAAGAAATCATTCTCTAGTCTTATAACTAAGGAATAACTGAGGAATTTAACTCAGGCTGGTGCACAGTTCCTGAAATCCTGCTGTTTTACTCAGGTTTGGCTCAGATCAGCCCCAGCTGCTCCC